CTGTTTTCCAGAGTGGCTGCACCAGCTTGCATTCCCATCACCATTTGATTTTTAAGTGTACAGTTCAACTGCATTAAGTACATTCACATTGCTGTGCAAACCATTGCCATCATCCATCTCCAGAACTTTTTCATCCTCCCAAACTAAAATTTTGTATTCATTAAAAAACAACTCCTCATTTTCCCTCCTCCAGTACCTGGCAACCACCATTCTATTTTCTGTCTCTGTGAATTTGACTGCTCTAGGAACCTCATATAAGGGGAATAATACAACATTTGTTGTTTTGTGATTGGCTTATATCACTTTAGCATAATGTCTTCAAGGTTTACTCATGTTGTAAAGTGTGTCACAATTTCCTTTTCCTTTAAGGTTGAATAAGATTCTCTTGTATGTATATACCACATTTTGTTCATCCATTCATCCATCAATGAACACTTGAGTAGCTTCCACCTTTTGCATATTGTGAATAATGCTGCTATAAATAGTATGTTCTATATATGAACATGTTTTAAAAATTTTTTTTAATGTTTATTTTTGAGAGAGAGTCTGAGCCTGAGCAGGGGAGGGACACACAGAGAGAGAGAGAGACATGGAATCTGAAGGAGGCACCAGGGTCTGAGCCATCAGCCTAGAGCCTGATGCAGAGCTCGAACTCATGAACCATGAGACCATGACCTGAGCCGAAGTCGGATGCTTAAATGACTGAGCCACCCAGGCGCCCCTATATGAACATGTTTTAATATGATTTAAAAAAATCATTTGACAGTAAATTGTATATGTGATGCCCTTTTAACCCTAAATGTGCACTTCAATGTATACTTCCCTAAAAAATAAAATTCTCTTACGTAACTACAATATAATTACAAAAATCATACAATTGAATATTTATATAATACTATTATCTAATATTCAGGCCTTATTCAGATTTTGCCATTTGTTTCAATAATGCCACTTATGGAAAAAAATTCCAGGATTATACATTAATCTGTGCATATAAACTCCTTTAATTTCCTATTTTTCCTATTGTCTTTTCAGTGATTTTACAGTATGCTTCTCAGTTTGGGTTTATCTGTTTCTTCATAATTAGATTCAGGAAATGCATTTTGGTAAGAATACCACAGAAGTGATGGTGCTGTTTTCTTCTCAGTGAATTGTAAGAGGAGGCTCAAGATGTTGATTTGTCCCATTACAATGACGCTCACTTTGAGCAATTGGTTAAGGTGGTATCTACCAGGGTTCTCCACCTGGTAGACACCACCAGGTTTCTCCACTAAGTTACCATTTTTATCATTGTAATGAGTACAATGTAGAGAGATATTTACAGACTATGTAAATATCTTTTGTTCTTCAAACTTTCATCCAGTAGTTTTGGCACCTATTGCCTGAATAAATTATTACTATAATGGGACAATTCCCTCTTAAAAAGTAAATCTGATCATACTATTCCAGGACAAAGCCCACACTCCTCTGACATAACAGGTCTTTCATCATCTCACCCCACCTTCTCAACACTGCATCCTTTTATCCCATCTTCAATCTTACGGTCTGGTCATTATGGATTATTTACAGCTCTTAAAATAAGGGATTCAGTTTCACATCTCTGTGCATTCATATGTCTTTTTACTTTACCTGAAATAAGTTTTCTTGGTATATAACAAATTCCATCTCATCCTCCAAGATTTTACTTGAGAGTCATCTTTTATATTGTCACCTTAAGTGCCTTAGGAAGAGAGAAACTAGTTTGTATCCTTGTCTTACTAATCATACTTTATGGCATTTATTTACATTTTTATTTCCCTCTTAAGAGAGAACATAATTTACTCATATTTATAGCCCCAGTGCCTAGCATAATGCTTGGTTCATAGTAGGTTTTCAGAAAATGTTGGGATGAATGAATAGTGAATTTAAGTGAAAGCAAGTATTTTGGCATGTTGTTATGATGTGGGTAAGTGAAATGCAGCACAAATTGAAATTGGAGGGGCAATCATGGGGGCCTTGTGTAAAAATTCTAAAGAATTGTCTTTAATCCCACAAGCTCTATAATATGAATTTATGTTTGAGTGATTTCTTAGGTGAAGTGTAGAAAATGGATTACAATGGTGTAAAGAACTCTAGTTAAAATACTGTTGAACTTGAGTGAGTCTACTCAACCACATTCTCAGGTTATGAATCTAAAGACCTGAATGTGAGAACTAAAAACATAAAAATCCTAGAAGAGAGCACAGGCAGTAATTTCTCTGATACTGGTGATAGCAACATGTTTCTAGACATTTCTCCTCAGGTAAGGGAAATAAAAGCAAAAATAAACTATTGGGACCACATCAAAATAAAAAGTTTCTGCACAGCCAAGGAAACCATCAACAAAACAAAAAAGACAACCTACTGGATGGAAAAAGATATTTGCAAATGAAATATCTGATAAGGGGTTAATATCCAAAATATGTGAAGAGCTTATGCAACTCAACACCAAAAAAACCCAAAAACAAAACAACAACGA